GACAAGCTTTCAAAACGGGCCTTTACTGGGGTGCGGTGGGCGCGGACGCCCCGACGAGCGCAGACCGCACCCCCGCGGGGCTGTGCTGCCCCGACGGCCTAAGGCGACGCGGGGCTGTAGCGCTCGACCCACTGCCAACCTCAGCACAGCAACGCCGCAAACGTACAGGGAAGGCAGGGGACAAGAGAGCCCTCCTGCAGTGCCTCGGGTGTACAGCCAGCCACCCTCACAGGGCTGGGCCCCGATTCATCCCAACTGGTCACAAAGATGTTTTTTTCTCTCTCTCTTTTTTTTTTTTTTTTTTTTTTTTTTTGTCCAAGGGAACCTTTTCTCAGTGCAGGGCTACACTGCTGCTTTTCCCGGGGAAGAAAGGAGGTTTCCCTGCCAGAGTCCCACCTAGAAACCGCTTTGTTCCTTCGCCCATCAATCTGGCTGGCATCACTGGAGGATAACTAGGTCAGCCGAAAGCCACGGCTGCAGTGCCAGCACATCCCCTGAGCCCCAGCAGACCTCTTCGGCCAAGGAGACAACGCTGCTCCAGAAGAAACGTGTCTCAGACGTGGCTTGTTACCTTCTCCCCCACCCCAGCTGGTCCCTTGAGCACAGGAGGGCTTCACCCAACATCTGCAGCTGCTCCAAGACCTCTTGCTGCATCTCCACGGCCATGCGGTGCACGTGGTGGTTGAAGCTGTTGTACATCATCGCATTCTGGAACATGAGCATGAGGTCACGCTGGAACTGGACCATGGTCTGAATGTGTCCCTTTGACAGTTTTCTCTTTATGCTGGTTAAATCCATGGGTCTACAAAAGATAGATAGAAGGAGAATTACATTGCAACCCACAGCCAGGCATTCTTCAGGCTCTGCATGAATGTGCTTATTCTCATTTCAGTGTGGCCCTGAAAGCACAGCTATTTTCAATCAATTTTATTGCTCAGGACAAAGAGGAGGAGTGAGATATGTTCTTCTTCTAAGTCAGGCAAGTAAGTTTAGCCGATGCGACACTTGCTATCCAATCAACTTGGCAGGTCATTAGCAGTCACCTCTAATAAAAAAAATTGATGTTGAGCTCCAGAGAAGGCAAGCAGAGCGATTCCAGTAATTAGTCTTCATGAAGTCAGTCCAGGTCTTAGTGGAGAAAGAAAAGTTACTAAAATAGGTATCTATTAAAACCCCTTAAAATCGAATGGTGCCACTAGCAAAAATAGCTGTGCTGATAAGGGGAACATGATGGAGAATAAATATTACTTCCCTTATTTTGACAGAATGAGAAAATGAATGGTTGCAGAGACGACAACTGTGACCAGAATAGAATATGATTCAGCTCTGAAAAATGCCCTTAATCTCTCTGGGAAATATTCTTATGACCCACTTCTCTGCTGAGAGTAAAACATCTGGGGTGCAAGCAGTGGATGAGGAGAGGGTATCGGCTGAGGGACACACTTCCAACACGGGGAGAAGAGACTGCTGAGCTGCAGAAGCTGAATTCCCTGCTCAAGCAGGGCTTACAGCTGCATGGGCTGTGCCTGGAGTAAGTCAGCCATGCAATGCCAGCAAAGGACAGGCACAATTCCTATCAGCAGCAGAGTCCATGCAAGCTTCCAGGTTCTAATCACCCAGAAGGGAGTTTTAATAAAAGAAATCAGTAGGAGGTGCTGGTCACAGCCAAACACTGGAAAAAGAGGAAGAAAACCATCCCACTGGCCCTTTGGAAACCAGAGAAGACAGAAAAAACAGAAATCAACTAGTGAGCACTTCCTCCACAAACTCACCTCTTTACCACATCCCTGTATCCAGGGGCTTGTTTGTCTGACACGGCCTTCAGGAACGGGCCACTGTATCTACAGGGACAAGCACAAAGAATGACATCTGTCCACCTCTCCACCAAAGACAACATCACAACACGGACCAGTGCTTGCCTCTCCCTGCTTGCCATGAGGGCCACAGCCAATTAGCAACAGCCAGTATTTGGTGGTGGGCATGGCTCGGCATGGGAGGAGGCTGAGCCCCTTGCTGAAGCTGGCTGTGCCAGCTGTGTAGGAAGCAACATTTGGGCTCTGCCACATTAAGCAGAGGAAATAAATATGCAGTGTTCTCTCCAGCTTTGCAGCACGCAGCTGTTCTTGCTGCGAGGACAGCCAGAAGCAAAGCCGTGCATAGACAAGCCAGCCTGTGGTGGCTGTTGTGGAGGGGAGGACAAGGCCTGGTGACACAGGAGCTGGAAGTCAGGGCAATATGTTCAGGAGCCATGTCAATCCAACCCTTTGCCCCCACATACCTGTGACTGGCTATCATCTTCCAGATGGACAATAGAGTTCTTTTGAAGAGCAAATGCTGCAGGGGGTTATCCCAGCTCAGCTGCACCCTGTGGAGGGAATATATCGTCAGATCATCACACTCAAGGCAAAGTAGGAGGTGGAAATTCTGCTAGCACCCACCACATCCAGGTGGATGAAGTGCAGAGATCCTTTGCTGTAGCTACACAAAGCCTCTCTGGGTGAGATGGTGGAAGTGTTCTGCATCTGAATGCAGAACTAAATATCCAGAATGCAGGAAGATGCCTTGGCAGTAAGTAGAAACAAGATCTAAGCTGAGCAGCTCCAAAGGGCAGGATCAAGTTGGAAAGAAACCCTCATGCTACTCTGAAGTTCACAACTTTACTGACGTGGGTTTTATTCAGCTTCTCATCCCAAGAAACTACGGTTTTCCTTCAAAAGGCAGCCCATTTGATCACACATGTAGCAGAACCACATCTGCACCTGCCTAAATGGGGCTGGTAATGCCTTTCTTAGGAGCTGGACTGGACATTACCTGAAAAAGCATGATGGCCAGCTCACACAGGGTCTAGCTGCCTTGAGGAAACATGTATTTTCCATTTAATCTCTTATTTAATCTCTACTCTTCTCACTTCAGTTTAGGATCAATGCCCCAAAATGCTGGCAGATCCATAGAGATAGCACAAGTTACCTCCCTCCCTCCTGTTCTCCTTGGCTATCTCACCTTCCCGGAGGTGACCTGTGCCAAACACTTGTCCCTGCAAGAGAGCAGAATGAACTACTTACAGCTGTGTGTTGGCAGGGCTTGTGGAGTCCAGCACAGGAGCTGTAGTGGTGCTATCACTATCCTCTTGATTCTGGGCCTGATTACTCATCTGCAGATGTGGCTCACCTAAAGCTTGTTCTCCAGGTATCTCTTGAGTCTTGTCCTGCAGAGCACAGAGGAAAAGGAAGATACGCCTAAAATCGCAGCCCATCACTTGACTCCTTCATCTACAAGCCAGACTGCTGGACATCCCTTCACTGCATCCAGTCTCAGCTGGGAGCTAGCTTGCTCCCTGCTGTCCTGGAGGATGATGTCTGACTTTATTCAGACCTTCACTGTGCTGCCCAGCACTCCAGTAACAGCTGGGTCTGATCTCTTGGATCACAACCACCTCTGGCTAGCACAAACACTGTGGAGCTGACTGGTGCCCAGTGTTATGTCTGTCTGCTTTTCTGGGAAGAGTCACGGATGTGAGAGGGCAATCAGGAGCTGAGGTAAGACTGCCTCAGGCTTGTTAAAGCTCAAGACACAGATAACAGGATCCCCTAGAGCGCAACAAGGTTGTTTCCTCACAAACTCCCACACGAGTATGACAGGGAATAGACTCAGCCAGGAAGGATCATGTTGTTGTAGTGATTTGCCAATGAGAGAGGCTCTTTGGACTCCATAAGTGGGATTATGTGCAGAGGAGGCTGAGAATTCCTCAACAGGAGGTCAGAAGCATGGAGCAGACTCCTCAGGAAGAAAGTGGACACTGTGCTGTGTTTGGCTTTAACCACTGGGAGAACCGCAATGGAACTGCTGGGAATAACACTGTTGTGGCTGAACAGGTGAAATGTGAGAACCCTGAAAGTTATTTCTGTCTCCAGTGTCTAAGTTTGCAAGGGAACAAATGTGACTGTGGAAAAATGATGCTCTTCTTCCACTGCTATGTTACCTCTCTCAGCAACACCTCACAGGCTGGTGGGAGCCCACAATCGCCCTAGACACAGGACTGATGCAAACCCAGGCTAGACAGTGTCTGCTTCCAATACATGACGGTCTCCCGGGGCAGATGGTTATTGCTATCACAGCCACGTGGGCCTGAAACCAGCCAAGCTGTGTGCTGCATAACACAACAATTAGAACAAGGCAAGTATTCCAGTCTTGCCTTAAACCTGAGAGCAGACTGCCAGCTCTTATGAGTCACCTTTACACTGCCAAGGAGCAATTCCTCCAACTCACATCTGAGGGTCTGATCTATAACAAGCTTCCTGTTCATAAAGATACATAACCATACATAAAAAAACCATCCTTCCCCTCATACATTTGTTTTGCATCCCTCTCCTTGCTGTCTCCTCCTCTGTGTCCCTGCCTCCCCACTTGGAACTTGGGATTTCCCCATCTCTTCTAGAGCTGATTTCCTTCACTGTCTCTTGTCTCTCATCCAGGACCAGAGGCTCTCTTAGGATCACCTCTCCCCTACCTCTCTTCCCGGGAGGTGTTCTTCCTCATCTTCTGCCAGGATGTGTAGTGGACTCTTCTCTACTCCTGAGACTGCTTTTCCTGTGGTCTTTTCCTGGCATCTCACATCTTCCCTATCACCCTGCTTCTCAGACCCACAATAATCCCACCGAGTCTGTGATGACTTTGTGCTGCTAATGCGGAGAGGTTCCATCATCTGGGTTATCTGCAACACAGAGATTTATTGCTTCAAATTGTGAAGGCAAAAGGAAGAAGAAATAAGCAGCACAGATGCTATTTTTGCTTTCACTCACGAACGCCTTTCCATTTTTAGGAATCCTTGTAAAATCTTCTGATGAAGCCCTGTGTTATTATTACAGTGTCAGTTCACTGACACTCTGTGCTTTAGGGTGAGTTGTGTTTTGGCAAAGCAGCTGCCTGGTTGTGGTGCCAGCTTTAAATAGGAGGAAGGGCTAGGCTTGGGACAGGGAGCAAGTGAACTCAGGGCATCTGCTCCTCCCCCAGGCTATTTCTGTGCGTAGGGATGGTAGAGGCCCTGAAAACCCTAATGTTTCAGGAAGGCATGAACTATGCTACCCACTTTCCTGTCACCCAAACAGCCCTACCTCTGAGAAGAACTGGAGAAAACTGTCATCTTCACATGTTCTCTCTGCCTTTTGGTAGTCTTCACTATCATCCTCCCAGAGAGGCTCACTGAACTCCAGCTCGTGGTCTGCCTCTTGGCTGCTCTCCTCTAACTTCTCCAAGGCCACCTCTTCGGTATTCCTCCAGCCCCCCATGTCCAGATCCAAGCTTGAATCCCAGCTGAGAAGAGACTGGAAGTCACTGTTCTTCTCTGACTCGCTGGGAGACTCCGTCTCAGACTCCCACCACACCCAGGCATGGCCCACCTGCAAACAAACATAAAGAGAGAGACAGCAATTTCTTTGTACCCTGATCCACAACTGCAAAGCCCAGCTCATTTCCTGACATACTCAGAGAGCCAAAGAACGGGAAGGACTCTGTGAGGAGAGCAGCCTACACCTAAGCCCACACTTCACAGCATGTGGCAGGGCTGTAGCTCTGCAGCATTTCATTGACAGAAACTCTCATTTCAGAGGAACTCAATTTCAGGTTTTCTGGTGCCTTTGCTGTGCTCTCTATACTGAAAATAACTTATTACAAACTCTACAGTTTTGTTTTGAAAGTGACTGGATGGTGGTATCTTGTGTACCTGAGCCAGAAGAATTATAACCACGCAGAGTCACACACTGACAGCGGACAGTTCTACACATTTCAGAAAATAAAAGTTAGCAGTCTCTTAAGAAGGAAGAAACCATTAATTTAATCAAAGTTCATTAGTCTGTGCCTAAGTGTCTTTTACTGCACGAGTCCAATATAATTTCTCCAAATCTGGGGAATCGTTTGCAGAGTCACTGTAACAACAGTAAAGGCTGTTAGAAAAATCTCTATCTTGCCACTGAACTCAGCTGCCTGGATGCTGTACCTATGGAGAATTCTATGCATTAATTAGCAGTGTCTTTAGAGTTTTCAGTTAATTATGTACAACCTAATTTTTCCAGAGTCTTGAACAAGCGCATTTCTGACTGATTTCCTTTTGCGTTCTCAGGACTGCCAGCACAGCTACAAATACAGCTTACGGTGCATAACTGGGAGAAATAAGGAATCCATTGGGTTTGGGATAAGAAAACTTGTTTGCTTGTTTTATGAACTTGCAAGTAGAGCTAGGATCCAAAAGGCTGTCCTTCTGAAACCTCTTTCAAAGTTAACTTCAGCGAAAGCAGATAAAATTTGATGAGGTAAGATATAACATTACCTGCTCTCAGCTTCCAGCTGAAGGAGTTGGGCAAACTGTGATTTCATCTGCAGAGTAACCCCATGCCTGAAGCGCTTTCCTGCACCATCGGCAAAGCTGGCCGCACACGCAGAACCAGCCACCGCAGCTCAGCTGAAGAACAGAAAAGCCTTAGCCTAGGGTAATCCAATCACTTGTGATCATCCTTCTGCACTCCAGTGGAGAGGGATAAGTATTTTAGAATCAGCGAACCTGGGCATAAGCATTGATTAAAAAGATCTTCGGCCTTATGTTCCGTTTTACTAAATCTTGGGAGACTCAAAATGACAGAGTGGAACAGCAGCATTAGTGCAAGACAAGCGGGATGAGTGAAATAATTACAGACTGCTTAGTTCCACACCAATTCTGTACAGAAAATAAGGGACAAAAAGATACAGACTTCAACTATTAATTAAGAACTGCCTGACAGTTCTTAATTATGTTGGCTACATAAGTCACCAGCAAGGAATCATTATGAAATTGGAAAGTTTTAGTTCGCTTTGCAGAGATCAGACACAGCGCAACCCTCACAGATATGAGAAAAAGCTGTTAGAAATAAAAAAGTCGGCCTTTAAAAGGAACTTAACGTGTCAAAACAAGAAAAATGATAAAAGCCTGAACTGTAGTAAATGAAATATAGAATCCACAAAAAAGTAGGCAAAAAAAAAAAGAAAAAATTGAAGAACAATTTGCTAAAGACATAAAAGCAAATAACAACAACAAACCTCGTCAAAAACATCAGAAGCAGAGAGCTGCCAGATGATGAGGGGGGATGACGCATGATCAGTGCCAAACATCTCAGCGGAAAATAGGGCCAGTTGGAAAAACCAAATTAATCATCATTATCAGCAGTTGCCACAAGGGAGATCACACAAGACTTTCTCTTGGGATGGGTCTGAGAGACTGCTTCTCATTAAAATGTCAACAGGGGAGGCTTTAGAACAATTTGAAGGAGACCTTAGAACCACTTGGGATTCACTCATGAGTCCTAAAGAAGCTTAAACATAATGTGACCAAACCTATGTTGTGTAACCTGTCGTTTAAATTAGCCACAGCACAAGACAGACAGATGTGATTGTTCTATCTATCCGTAAAAGGGTGGATGTTGGGAGATGCAGCATAGTAAGCCTGAGCTCTGCACTAGACAGATTAGAACAAAGTATTAGGGAGAACAGAATTAGTAGTCAGAGCATGAGATGATGAACTAGGTAAGAGGCAATGGGGCTCCGTGGAGGAAAAACCATCTCTTTGATTTTTAAAGATCTTAAACATCATAAAGGCTATTAAAATGTCATGGGACAAGAGAAAAGGCTCTTTGAGGGAAAAATACCTGGTTAAGAGAAGAAACCAAGGGTAGGAATGAACAGCAATGCTTTCCATAGTGAAAGCAAGTTACTAGTGGGTATGATAAAAGTTCTCCCACATGCTGCAACTTCAGTTTTTTAACATGGACAAAGACAGGGCAGAGGTGTTTCAGAAGAGACAGAGCCAGGCTCTTGTCAGTGGCCAACAGTGGTGACAGAGGAGGCAGTGATGACAAAGGAAATGCACCAAAGGAAATTCAGACTGGACATAAACGTTTACTCCACAAGGGTGGGCAAGCACTGAAACAAGTTGTCCAGAGGGGTTAGGGAAAATCCATCCTTGAGAGATTTTCAAAACTTGACTAGACAAAGTTCTGGGCAATCCAATCTACCTTTGAAGCTGGCCCTGCTTTGAGCAGCAGGTTGAACTAGATAAATGCTCAGAGGTCCCTTCCAGCTTCAATTATTCCATAAAATACCAGAAACCAAAAAAAAAACCTTCTGTAACTTTTTGTGCTACGAACGTAACAACCTGTAATCTCTAGAAACTGAGGCCCTAAAAATTCAAATCAGAAATTTGTTCCCAATTTCAGTAGTGAAGCAAAATTAACCAGTAAGCAAACCAAAGGATTCTACATTTCTAGCATCAAATGGTTCTACTTTTCTAGCATCAAATGTAGAGCGACTCTTGGTAGAAATAGACCCGAGCCACACGAGACTCAACACAGCAGGCACAACCAATTTCAACACAAAACTTGTGAAAATCAAGGTAAGGTAACAATCCCTCTGGTCTTAACTGCAATGACTCAGTTTCCTGCAACCTGTGTCTCAGAGAGCTGCACCCTGTACACGCTCCATAAAGCAGTGTAGACTACTCCCAGCTGCTGCAAGCATCAGGAAGGATAATGTTTTGTTTTTTGTTTTTTGTTTTTTGTTTTTTTCCCCTGGGAGGTCATGGGGGCAGAAAATATGCAAGTTCCATCTCACAGGTCATATGAGCAGAAAAGAGGGTGACTTGAAAATTGTCACAGAGAACTTAAACCTGAGTTAAGCATTCGTGTTTCTGAGGAAACGAACTGTATTTTCAAGTCAACAGAAACAGTTCACAAGCTCAGATGTGAAACCAGGTACTGGCATGCCCACAGCTGCTGGAATCACAGATTTTCACTCTGACTAGCATACCCTTTTCAGATCTCTGGGGAAAGAATGCAAGGTACATTTCAATATGTCAGTCTCTTAAAGAAAGCTCCAACAAGACTGTAGTATTTAACTTCTCATGGTTAGATCTCCTGTTTCATCAAAACAGTGCCATATTCTCACATACTCAAGCAAGAATCTTCCCCTCCATCCAACATTTCATGCAACACTCCCATGATTAACAGATTGTCCCTGATATCAAAGCTCTGCCATGGTTGTATGCTGTATGTAAAACTGGAAGAGTTATGTTTGCAGATATTAAAGACAGGTATGCACGCTTGTACAAAAACAGGGCTCCTCACTGCAGAGAGCTGCGATGCTGAGTACACTGCACACCGTACACTGGATTTGTTCCCGGACTTTAATATACATACACATTTACACATCACTAGTAAAAATCTGTACACTTCACATTACAGTACATACGAGCCACCAGTTGCTAGCTAACACCAGAACACTGATGAAGCCCAAGACGACTGCCCTAAAACAGGCAGGGGGGCTAGTCTTCCCCTCCAGGGAAGTTTCTTTGGGTTACACGTTCCGACGAGACACTGCTTTCCAGAGGGGCAAGCGAAGATGGACCAGGTCCCAGAAATGGACCTGCAGCTTTTCTTCCTCCTCCAAGAGCTGTTAACTGCATTGTGCTTGCACTCCAGCTCGGGATGCCACGTGCTGGGATTTTCTGCCTGCCTGCAGCATCATTTCTTCATCTTCATGTCTGCCTCGATGGCACAGCGACGCCCTCTGGTGCCACCGTCCTAGTCACAAGGCAAAGAAAAAGAGAGTTATGCAACCCTAAATACGAAACACTTCCTCCAGCACTCAGGGAGGTAAGGAATTGTGCATCTGGTAACAACTTTTCATGCCTTCCAAACAGGAGAAAGGGAAGCTGTCCCTAAGAAGGCCTGCCTCCAGACCTACCTAAAATTCACTCGACACAGCACAGGCGCTGGGATTTGCAGCATCTCTGTGCGCTGCTGGCAGCCAGAGCAGAGAGAGGCAACAAGGCTCTTGCCCAGACAGATGTTTTTGGAGCCTGTACAGTGCAGGCTTTCTCCTAAGTGGCAAATTCTAGCTTGGCTCTTAAGGTGGGGAGAGGAAACTGCTGACTAACCTACCTTATCAGCTGCTGATCCCTATGAGAAGTGCTCCTCCAGTTGAGTGACCCTGGCACTAGCTCCCTAGTTTCTCCGTACAGCTCCTTTCCATGAGTAGAAGGCGAGCTGAGAGCTTCCTTTGATCCGCTGCCCTCTCCCTCTGGCTGACATGCTGACTCTCCCGGAGTACTCCTCTGTCTTTAGATATATGCGAGAGAAAAAAACAACTCTCCATCTTCCTCCCCTCTCTCCTCCCCGCAAACTCAGACACTTAAGGTTTCTCGGAGGGAATATTTTTCCAAACACTTCCAGATCACCACAGGCAGAGAGCAAGGTATTTCTGCAGAGTATCTTATTTCCTTTCTGGACCGTGAATGATAAAGGAGTACACAGCTGACTCCTCACGTTCCCAAGACCCTTTGTACTGTTTCGAATGTGCAGAGGGGCAGCTGTATAAACATGAGTGATGTAAGAACTACAGTACTGCACCACTTGGTCTGTCTTCCCACTTACATGGAAAGAAAGCAGGAGAGAAGTTGTGGAAAAAAGCAAAGGCAGATGACAAAACGAGAACACTTGGAACCAGAAGAAAAGACTGAAGCTCCTCCCACTCACCCACGCTGAGAATAAGGGACTGAGATGTTTCTTCTCTAATGAACATGGTTGTACAGCCCGCAAGTTAAACACACACTGCTGCAATGCTAAGGATGCTGTGACAGTGCAGCGATCACCCAGACAAGGAGCAGAGCACACTGCCAGCAGTACTGCAGTACCTGCTGGAGCCTTTCAATACTTACAAAGAGAGAGAGAAGGAAGGCAGGAGAGCCCATTGGGACACTGTCCTGTTAAAAGGCCAAACAGAAGGACTTATCAGATATCAGATATGGAAATGCACACACCACATAGAAGCACTGAGCCCACACACGAGCATAGAGAAACATTTGCCCCACTCCCCATCCTGCATGGCATCAGTCTTATGCAGCAGGAACATCAAAACAGACAAAAGAGGGATACTGCGAGAGTCAGAATGCTAGGAAAGGGGTATTTCCTCCTGAGCCGTGGCAAGGCCTGGTCTACCAAACAGTTTCTGCACTGTGCAGTTGCCACTAGAACTAAGCAGGCAGTCCTTGCTGTCACAATGTTGTATGCACCAGCTGAGAGCACTTGAGATCACTTAATCAAGTTTGGATGCGTCTTTACAGAAGAAAACAAACAAACCTACATCACTCTTAGTTCAGATCAGTGCGGAAGTCAAAGTTTCTCTGGTGTGTTTTACACAGCAAACCAGACTGCAGTGATTCCCTGGTCCTAAAAATCTGACTAGGAAGTGAAGAACACAGCAGAGGCTAGTCTTCCCATTCTCTGCACCTTCACCTTCCTGCCCCATCCTGCCTCTTCTAATACTCCGTTCATTTCCCTACAGTTTTCATCACCTGTTTTTAAAAACAGGGAATAGAACTATTGAGATTACAGAAAAAACTCATGAGACCTGCCTCTGGGATAATGTACAGCTCCAGAGATGAAATCTAATCCACGGACACATTTAAAGAAAAATTTCTTCACAGGAAGATGGTGAAGCTATTGCAGTCTCAAAGAACATTCTATCTTTGGTATGGGAGCTTCATGCAGTATCTTGGGATTCTTCGAAAGACACCAAGTGCCCTTCCACAAGGTGCAGCATTCTCACCTTCTCCGAAGCATCTTGCTTGCGAGTGGAGTCTCGCCCACGCAGGCTCTTTGCACTAATCCCTGACTCCGATGTTTGCATGATCAGTTGTGTGGCCAGAAATTGCTGCAAGAAAACCACACTCTGTTAAGATTCTCAGGCAAAACAAGCTCAGTTAGTGCACGTCAGTTAACTATCACAAACCACAGGCTGGGAATGATTGGGTCAGAGGCAGTTTCAGTTCCTTGTCTGCTGCTCAGAATAAGTTCCCCCATTTACCTCAGAAGCCACAAGTCCTGAGGAACTATAAAACCCCAGTTCAAACTCTGTTAACCCTGTCAGTTGGGACATTCTACTTCACAAGAAATTTTAAATGACATATATTCACAGGACAGCGTTTCATGTACACTTTATACCAACATAAACCAGCACAGCCACCAAAAGAAGCAATCGCGTCCCCTGTCATTCACTATTCTCGTTGCTTGTTTCTGTTCCTGAACCACACCCTGGTTCTTGCTGGCCTAAGCATTTCC